GCCTGGGATCACTGTCTCAGTACAGGGTCATAGGGCAGAAGTATTACCCACCTTTCTGGTGCTGAGTATACCCAATTGTTGGGTGAAAGGGAATTTCAAACTGACAGTGCTATAAGTTGCTTCATGTTTTGCTCCAGACTGGACTGCTTTGGCAGTGAAGAGATGAGAACTAACTCTGTACTTGAACCCCTTGCGATGGGAAGTAAAATTTATCTATTTTGCTGTTACTGACAAAAATCCAAATCTAAGTTCTGAAGAGTGCACACTTCTACTGGTGCATCTGTTTCAGCGAAGGACTCCAAGGGATGCTCTCAGACTGATTGATGCCACTAGAGCAGCTCTGCCTGCGGTCGTGCAGGATGAGTAGGAGAGGGTGTAAAACGTCACCTAACTGTCTTGTGTAGCTGTTCACCCTTATTCTGTGGTTACAAACCTTGATTTTTGTGGACTATTTTTGAATTGTCTTCTACTGTTGTTTTAATTATTTGACTGGTAAACGTTAAGGCTTCGCTATGAAATTCATTGCAGAAGAAGGTGGTCTGGTGATGTTTTTTTCTTCCACGGTGTTGGTCTAGTTAGTTACTCTGATGCATCGAAGAACACCAGACAGTTTTAACTTCCTCTTGTACTTGGCTCCTTAAACTTTGATAAGGTACCTTTTTCCAAGTTTTTTTTGTAGTGGTCTGGAGGCTGTCTATGTTGGTTGGTCTAAAATGTGCAGGTATATGTAGTGTTCTGGTGGAAAACCTCAAGGGAGAAATTTCTTTTTAACAAATAGCTGGGTTCAGTGCATCGAAGAACACCAGACAGTTTTAACTTCCTCTTGTACTTGGCTCCTTAAACTTTGATAAGGTACCTTTTTCCAAGTTTTTTTTGTAGTGGTCTGGAGGCTGTCTATGTTGGTTGGTCTAAAATGTGCAGGTATATGTAGTGTTCTGGTGGAAAACCTCAAGGGAGAAATTTCTTTTTAACAAATAGCTGGGTTCAGCAGATAACTCAGTTAAAAATACTTTTGTTTGGTGAGGCTATACAGATAAAAAGGGAAAGATGTGAAGTTACCAGTGAGAGCAAGCATAATGGAGACTGGTTTTGATTAATGAAGATGTACAAAAATAAACCAAAGCAGCTGAATGCAGCACTGCAGCTTGAAGCCAAATTATTGTGTCCATTTTTATTCAAGGTTTTTGGAGTGATACTTCCTACGAAACAAGGGAACTGCTGAGGAAGGAAATCTAGAAACGTTTCTTGAAGTGACTGCCAGAATTCATCGGGGAAGGCATTTAGCTACTGCTTGAGCTCTAACAAACCACAGCCCGTTTTACTGAGTATTAGTAGCATGGGATTTTTTTTTAATGGCCAGCAAGTAGGAGCTATATGCTCATGTCGAAAGACTATAAATCAAGAACTAAAACTCCTAGACTGGGATGGGACTTAACTCTCCCTTTCCTTTTGGCAAAGGAGGTGCTGTTCAAGGCAGACTTGCGTCTTGCTAAGCAAACAGGCTTGTGGGCAACATCAGCCTGCTGGGCTGCTGTAGCAATGGAAGACACAAAGCAACACCCTGGTTATCCCAGGGTCCGTACTGACTGACAGCTGAACACCACCAGAGCAGGTGGTGCTGGGGGTTTGGCAAGGCTGCTGTGAGGTGCGCCAGGAGGAACTCTCTCCCAGAACCATGGGTGTTAGGGGAAGGGGAGTTGCAGTGGTCGGGGAGGGTAGTCAGGACTGGACAGAACTGTAACTTGGTTCTGCTGATGGAGGGTGAGCCACATTGTTCAGAAAAGTCCTCGGTTATTAAAGGACCATGGTAAGATAAAACGCGAGGGAGTAGTCACAGTAGTTGACCAGAGAACTTTGATTGGATTTCCTGTGGCTTCTGTTGAAGGGAAGGGCCAGATGTTAGCTGTTTTACTCCTGCTGCCAGCTGAAGAAGCTTCGGTAGCCAGAGCAGTGGAGTCTGACAAATACAAAGAAATGAGCTACAGTAAAATAGCTGGAGAAATGACTGTCGAAGCTGGACTGACCAGCAGCAGCTGGATATAAGGTGGCAGAGGGATTCCCATGACTGTGAATAAAAAAACGTCACCGATGTGATTTTTACTCAGTGTATGGGGGCAGGGGTGGGAGGGGGAATGAGTGCTGAAGCTGATGTAAAGTGCTACAGGTACTAAATGAGCTTGTGTCCCTTGCTAAGGGACAGCACATCAAGACTAATGGTTTCTTTGTGCCTCCAGCAACGAGTCTTTGTGCTCTGAAGCTATATTCTGAGAGGTAGTTGAATAAATGGTCCAAGTGTTGGTGGTAGAGAATAATTAAACTCTTTATTCTTTCACAGTGTACAGTAGAAAATCAGGAAAAGGAGGAAGAGGTCATCTTTTATTCTAGTCGAAGGACTATGTTCACTTAAATCAGGAGCAGCTTATTACTAAACTTGTTCTAGAAGCTTTCAGCTTTTGAAATTGATAATTCATTAGTGAAAGATCTGCAGAACTATGTAGGAAGACTGAATTAACTGGGTGTCTGGGTACTTGGTGTTCTGATCGCTGAGCAAGCAGCTCAGTTAAAAGCTAACAAAGCTTTCACTTTTGTCTCGCTTTGAAAGTCTTCTCCAGTTTACATGAATGTTGGCCAAGAAGGCCAGCTGCATCCTGCCTGGTGTCATAAACAGCGTGGCCAGCAGGACTAGGGATGGGATTGTCCCCCTGTACAGCTGGGGAAGGGGCTGGAGCACAGTTCCTGTGAGGAGTGCAGATGGAGCTGGGGGTGTTCAGCCTGGAGAAGAGGAGGCTGGGGGCAGACCTTATTGCTCTCTACAGCCCCCTGAAGGGGGGGTGCAGAGGGGTGGGGGTTGGTCTCTTCCCAAGTAACAAATGATAGGATGAGAAGAGGTGGCCTCCAGTTGTGCCAGGGAAGGTTTAGATTGGATATTAGGAAAAACTTCCACATGAAAAAAGGGCTGTCAGGCATTGGAAGGGGCTGCCCAGGGAGGTGGTGGAGTCACCGGCCCCGGAGGGGTTAAAAAAAAAAAGGGCTGTCAGGCATTGGAAGGGGCTGCCCAGGGAGGTGGTGGAGTCACCGTCCCAGGAGGGATTTAAAAGACGTGTAGGTGTGGTGCTCAGGGACATAGTTTAGTGGTGGCCTCGGCAGTGCTGGGTTAATGGTTGGACTTGATGATCTTGAAAGTCTTCTGCAAGCGAAATGATTCTGTGAAGATCAGACATATTCTCCCCCTTTTCTCTGGCTGTATATAGCTGTTGTGTTTTGTGATCTTTGCTTTAAACTATCTTAAAAAAAATACAGTCACCCCCCCCACCCCCAGCAGAGGAGCGGAATGCATGCTGTTCTCTTTCATTTTTCAGCTGCTGTCTTTCAGCACGGTAGCTCTGCCTCCTGCTCCGCAGCACAGTAACAACCGATGGAAATTTGAACAGATTTGTGTTTAGTGCCTTCGAACTTCTAACTGCTGTCATCTCCAACTTGCTTGGAGGATGCACTGTGACAGCTCCGCCGTTGCTGCTATCGGTGAAGGGACATATGGAGTGGCAGTGTTTGCTAAAAACAGGCTGAGAGAAAGCAATACAAAGGAATGTTTGGCGTTTCTTAGGGGAGGCAAGATGTCCCTGACACGCCTGGTGTAGTGTTGTCCCAGTGTGCCGTGCCTGTAACTTAACTGCCTTCTACTTTGGTGTGAACACAGGAATGTGCACGTGCTATTTGTGGCTTTGCAGGCAGCCTCCTGATTCCTTATGTGGGTGAAGGTTGATGCCGCATGGAGCGGCATGTGGCTTCTGGGATCGGGTGGTGTGGGGCTGGGCTAGAGTTAATTTTCTTCCCAGTAGCTGTGCTTTGGATTTGTGCTGGAAACAGCATCGATAACCCAGGGCTGTTTTTGTTATTGCTGAGCAGTGCTTAGACAGAGTCAAGGCCTTTTCTGCTCCTCACCCACCCTGCCAGCGAGCAGGCTGGGGGTGCATAAGAAATGGTGAGGGGATGCAGCTGGGACAGCTGACCCAAGCGATATTTCAGACCAGATGACATTGTGCTCAGCATATAAAGCCAGGGAAAGAAGGAAGGGGTGATGTGGGGTTTGTTCCCAAGTCACTGTAACGCGTGATGGAGCCCTGCTTTCCTGGGGATGGCTGAACACCTGCCTGCCCATGGGAAGTGGGGAATGAAGTTGTTGTTTTGCTTTTGCTTTACATATTAAACATCTTTATTTCAGCACATGAGTTTTCTCAGTTTTCCAGTTCTCTCCCCCATCCCACTGGGAGGGAGGGAGTGAGCGAGCATCTGGGTGGTGCTCAGCTGCTGGCTGGGATTAAACCACGGCACGGACATATACAGTATTTATTTATACTGAGTCTGAAGTTCAGGGCTTTGTGGTTGGTGAGTGCAGTAAGCGATGCTCTCTTGATTAATTTTCAATACTCTTTTTACAATTAATTAATCCCAACCTATCTTATGCTTAGAAAATAATTGGATAAAGCCTATTAATTCTCTGCAAGACCAGCATTTTTTTTTTAAACAGTTCCTAAGTACCTGTGAGCAGTTCATGCTTCTATCATCTCAGTTGGATCTGTCTGCCGTTGGACTTTTGATTAGTGCTTCTGCAAGTCATTAACAATGAGGCTGTCTGCTTTACGGAAGAGCTGAATTTCAAGTGCAAGAGCAGGATTGCTTTTTGAGAAGGCTTTTAGGTAGGGTTTCAGATAGAACATTTCTGCCTTGTGATTTAAGGCTGTTACCAGATAACACCTGTTCCAGGAGGCTCCGGGTTGTGGTGGTGATACTTAAAAATTTGTGGTTGTGCAAAGTTGCGTAGTTAAATGGTAAGGTTTTTTGTTAAAAATAACTTGGCTGAAGTTTGTGGGATTACTGCTCCTTGGCATTTTTAAAACATGATGCTAATACTAATGGCTAGAGGGGAAGAAAGTGGGTGGGCTGACTTGTACTGATGTCTCCAGCTGCACTTTAATTCAGTATATTTTTTCTCTCCCTAGTACTTTTGTCCATCTGTTCTCTGTTGTGTGATCCCAATCCAGATGATCCTTTAGTGCCTGAGATTGCACGGATCTACAAAACAGATAGAGAAAAGTGAGTATGGAAGCAAAAAACCATGTAACATTCTTGACAAAGCAGAATCCATACTTAAATAGTAAAGGGGAACTGAAAGGACTTGCTTCTTGGAAAACAGTATGAACTTTGACTTGCCTTTTTCACTTGAACTGTGGTCTTTTTAGTGGTTCTCTGTAGCACAGCTATCTTAACAGCATTTCCTTGCTGTAGGAAAAGGAATATATGCCAGAGGAAGTGAAGGATGTAGAGGCCTCATACTTCTGTGGTTGTATTACTGCATCTTCATTCCACGCAATGGGCTTTCATTAGTGTTGTAGCTGTTAATTGCAGGTTTGCTTGATTTAAGGAAGATAGGAAGTGAACAATGCAAATCTGTTTCCTGCGGAGCTGTGAAGTTGGATGTGACCAGCTTTTAAGAGCCATGGCTGCCTGCTTTCATTCTGTGTAACCAGCAGAGGGGGAACAAGTTACTGTAGTGGGAGAATGTTTCCATTCTGGCTGTTGGTGGTGGAATCATGCAAGCAAAGAAATAACAAAAACACCATGTTCCATCTTGTCGTGGTTTAACTCTGGCTAGCAAAATCCCATGAAGCCACTCTCACAAATCCCCCTCCCCTCCTCCAGTAGAGGGGACGAATTGGAGGAAAAAGAAATAAGGAAGCTCGTAAAATTGAGATAAGAACTATTTACTGATTGAATCTAAATTAATATATATGAATACTACTACTAATAAATACTTAAAATAATAGGAAATAAAACGTGATACAATTATGATACAGTTGCTCACCACCCACTGACCAATGCACAACCAGGTGCTTACAAGTGAATCAGCTAGAGAGCCTGAGACTTGCAGCCTGAGGGCCGGAGCCTGAGAGCTGTCACAGCAGATTCCGAGCAAACCCTATCAGCAGTAGCACAACTGGGAAAACTAAACAAAGCCACCAACTCCCTCACGAACGAGCCAGCACAGGAGTTAGCAAAGCAGCTAATGCAGGAATTAGGGAGAGGAGAGCAAGTGTATGGGAGTAAACGAGCAAGAGAGTAATGGCTTCCAGACCCATTCCCTGCCTCTGCCCCGAACACGATGTACTATGGAATGAAATACTGTCTTGGTCATTTTGGGTCTGCTGTCTGAACTGTGTGTCCCCCGCACTGCCTGTAGCGAGACAGTGAGAGCTGGGAACGCAGCTGCAGGATCAGAAGCGGAGAAAGACCTTGAATCTGGTGCAGGCATTCCCCAGCGCCAGCTGAGACCTTATCAGTGCTGCTCTCTGCATCCAGGAACAGCTTCCTAGCAGCCATGGTAAAGAAAGTTAACTCCTTCCTGACTGAAGCCAGCACACATCTTTGTTTCACAACACAAGGTGGGAGGGCTCCAAGCTTCTATGGAGTAAACAGCAAGAATGCAGAGAATTCTAGCACTAAGGAGCACTCTAAAAGCAACAGCTTAATGATGGGTGTGAACACTTTGCTACCTTGCTGTTCCCTTCCAGATCTGATCAGCAGTGCTACATGGTCATCTGATGAGAACAAAATAGGAAGGGTAGGTGACCCACAAACTTGTTTACTCTACTGCATACTTGAGAAGCACTGCTAGAGAAGTTGTTGCATCCTGCATAATGAGAGCTGCGAGAGTAGCAGTACATATTTCGAGATGCATCTGTATGACTGACTACACTGAATGTATGCAGGACTCTCTCCTATTTTTTTCTAGAAATAGCGAAACTTTGTGCTTAAACATAACTGGACTTGCTTCTTGAGTAGTCTCGGAACAAGTGCTCTCGCCTTCACAAATGGATTGTCAGATTCTTTAAAGAACTTTCACCTAAGATTAGGTACACAGGGAATAAAAGGAGGATCAGGGAAAATGTGGGCATGTGGGCCCTCTATGGAAGGAAACCGGAGAGTTGGTTTCCCAGGATATGGAGAAGGCCGAGGAGCTCAATGGTTTTTTTTGCCTCAGTCTTCACTGGCAACGGCACAAG